AGTGTGGGTGAGGAGACTGGGAGCAGCCAGCCCAGAACCCTGTGCCAATGTATACATTGTGAAATGAAGGTGAAATGAAGCTATTTCAGATGTACAAAAGCTGAAAGAATTCATCACCAGCAGACCTTCACCGCAGGCAGGGTTACAGTAACTGCAGTAAAGGTTTCAGACCGCAGAGAAATGAAACCGTGTGGAAATCAAGATCTACCCAAAAGAATGAAGACCCCTGGAAATGGCAGTCATGTGGCTAAATATAGATATGTATATACTGTCTTATTACTTAAATCTCTTTAAAACCTAAATAAATAAATAAAAGCAATAAGAGTAGGGGGCGGTTATAATATATATAGAGTGAGGTCTATGACGAGTGGCAGGCAGTGCGGGACAGGAGAAATGGCAAACTCACGTACTTGAAGTGGTGTGATTTCCCTTGAAGGTAAATTATGATAAATTAAATATGAACACTGTAAACCCCAGAGCATATACTAATATAGCAAAACAATAAATTACCTACAGCTGATAAATTAACAGTCAAGATAAAATTGAATCACATGAAATACTTAGCCCAAAAGTAAGCAAAAAAGAGGGAAGGGGGAACAAGGAACAGATGAGACAAATTTTAAAAAGTAGCAAAATGGTAGATTCCAACCCAGCCATGTCAATGATCACAAATCTAGATGGCGTAAGCACCCAATGAAAGGCAGAAATTGGAGTGACTGGGAGACTCAGTCAGTCTGGGTCTTGATTTCGGCTCAGTTAATGATCTCAGGGTCATAAGATGGACCCCTACGTTGGGATCTGCATTCAGCTGGGAGTCTGCTTGAAATTCTCTCCTCTGCTCCTCCCCACACTTGTGTGCACATGCACGCGCTCTCTCTCTCAAGTAAATCTTTATAAAAGGCAGAAATTAGTGGATGAGGGGCACCTGGGTGGCTCAGTGGGTTAAGCGTCTGCCTTTGGCTCAGGTCATGATCCCGGGGTCCTGGGATCGAGCCCTGCATCAGGCTCTCTGCTCAGCAGGGAGCCTGCTTCCTCCTCTCTCTCTGCCTGCCTCTCTGCCTACTTGTGATCTCTGCCTGTTAAATAAATAAAGTTTAAAAAAAATAAATAAATGTAAAGACACAAATAGGTTAAAAGTAAGAGGAAGGCATGAGGGGTACCATTCTAACACTAATGGGGAGAGAAGGGGAATTGCTGTAATAATATCAAATATACCGATTTCAGAGCAAAGAAAACTACCAGTGGAGATACTTCATAATGATGAATAGGTAATTTTGCCAAGAAGACAACATAGATTTTCCACACCTAATAGCGGAGCTACAAAACACATGGGACAAAAACTGATAGAATGGCAAAGAGAAATAGGCAAATTTGCAATTGCAGTTACTGCTCCTGGTGCCCTTTTCTTTGTAACTGGAAAACTAGGTAAACCGAAAATTAATACTGTCGCTGTCAGCCCCTGACCTGGTTGCTGTTCACAGAGCACTCGACCCAACAGCCTTTCCAGTGCCTTCGAAATGTTTATCAAGATACATCATTTGTCTGCATCATAATTTTTTCAGACAAAAATGGAATTATGTTAGAAACCAATAAACATACTGGCAGAGTAAATCATATACTTCCTTGTAATCCATGAGGGAGAGGAGAAATGCGCAGGGAAATTGGAAAGGTTTTGCATTGGATGAAAAACAGTCATAATCTTTGGGATGCCGGGGAAGCTGTGCTCTAAGACAGGCTTCGCGGCGCTAAATGCCTGACTTAGACTGAGGGTTTAAAAAAGTCCCAAACACGCAACTTCTACCTTAAACCAAAAAAAAAAAAAAAAGAACAAAATAAATCCAAAAGACTGCAAAGAAAGGAAATAATTCAGATCAAAGTGGAAACTAAAGCAGAAAAGACACAAAACTGATGTAGCCAAATACTGTCTTTTTTTGTTTTTGTTTTTGTTTTTTTTTTACAAGGTCAATAAAATTGACAAACTTCTGGCCGGCCAGATAAGGTGGAAGAGTGAAAAGAACATAAATCACCAACATCAGGAACGGAAGCGCGGGCATCACTACGAATTACACCGCCCCAAAAGGGTGCTGGAAGAATGGCGTGTCCGCTGTGTGCCGGTAACCCTGCCGGCTGGAATGAGACGGCCAAATGCCTTGAAAGACAAAACCACTGCAGTTGACTCGGGGAAGTTCAAGACCTGGTCCGCTCTGTCTTTACCAAGCACATCAGAATCGTGGTTAAAATCCTTCCCACAAAGGAAAGGACAAGTCCAGACGGCCCTGCAGTCATATTCTGCCAAACATTTGAGGAACGGATGACAGCTGGTCCACACGAACCCCCAGAAAATTGAGGGGGTTCATTTTGTTCAGCTACTATTATCCTGATAGCGAAAGCAGGCAGAGGTGGTACAAGAAGAAATTCATAAGGAAATGCAGACGAGCTGGAGTAATTAAAACAATTTCAGAAATGAAGAGCAAAGTTGGGAGGACGTCCCAGTGTCTGGGGCATTTGGAGCCCGAGACGCGGCATCTGTCCCAGATTGGAGGAGGCTTTCTGGAGGGGACGACACAGGGTGGACTCAGGAGCGAAGAGAGCCGGTCACGTGCCTTGGAGGTTCTCTTTGCCACCCGTTGTGCCTTCTGCTCTGGACCAGCCCTGAAGGGTAGGACAAGGACTGAGAGGGTGACACAGGTGGAGATGGTTAATTTGAGTTACTTTCAGGTTATGGTATATAATTTTTAGTTTTTCAGAATTTTATTAACACTGCTCAGTATTTTTCTTAAATGTTGAAGCCATATGAGAAGGTCACTTGTTTTCGCCCAGAGAGACAGGGACTTAGAAATACTTAAGTTTCTTTCTTTCTTTCCCTTTTTTAAAATGGCATTCCCAGTAGTTTTAAGTATTTAAATAAAAGCTGTATGGATATTCTGGGCGCCTGGGTGGCTCAATGGGTTAAGCCGCTGCCTTCGGCTCAGGTCATGATCTCAAGGTCCTGGGATCGAGTCCCGCATTGGGCTCTCTGCTCAGCAGGGAGCCTGCTTCTCTCTCTCTCTCTGCCTGCCTTGTGATCTCTCTCTGTCAAATAAATAAATAAAATCTTTAAAAAAAAAAAAGCTGTATGGATATTCAAGTGGCAGAAGGGAGAAGCCTGAGAGCATCTCCTCCAGGTGGGTCATCTCTACCTCATGAGCCAAGCACAGTCAGGTTGACCAGTGGTGTCACGTCTCTCTGGGCCTTGGAGAAAGTGTGCGACTGGTCTATAATCTCCCCTCTTGGGCCCCTGGCCAGCTTGCCCCACCTGGTGCTTTGAATCTGTTTTATTTCCCCTTGACTAGCATAGTTGGGATCTGTGGGTCAGCCTCTGCTGGGAGGGTCCTGTCCTGGTACCAGCTGGGGTGCAGACAGTGTCCCCAGTGACTCTTCTGCTCCGTATTCCTGCAGGCTTTCTCCTGAAGTGATGCGTGTATACAGAAAAGTGTGAGCAGGGCGTCTCTGGGGGGCTCAGTCTTCGGGCGTCTGCCTTCAGCTCAGGTCATGATCTCAGGGTCCTAGGATCGAGTTCTGTGTGGGGCTCCTTTCTCAGCAGGGAGCCTGCTTACCCCCTCTGCCTGCAGCTCCCCCTGCTTGTGCGGCGTCTCTCTCTCTCTCTGACAAATAAATAAAATCTTAAAAAAAAACAAAAACGAAAACATGAGAGCCTGGGCATGAAGCTCCTGAGCTTTCATAAACCAACACTGGCATGAACGGCCCCAAGCTGGACCCCACATGGCCGTGCCCTCTGGGCCCCACCGTCGGTACCTGGCCTGGAGGCGTCTGGGTCCCGAGGCGGAGGCCTTCCCTGCCTGGTTGGGAACTTGATGTGCATCTGATTGTGTTCGGCCTCGGACTGTCATCTCCTGGCGAGAGACACCGGCATGAGCTTGGGGGGTCTGTTCTGCCGTGATGAACACTGGGCAGTTTCCGTGTGGGCTGTTGGGACTGGGGCTCAGGGAACGCTGTATGCGGGTCTCTGCCAGCCCTTGCCTCGGGCAGGGGAAGCCCTCTGTGGGGGCCGGGGTATGTGCAGGTTTGGCCAGTACTGCCCACTGTGGTCCTGATCGGGTTAGCCCATCTCCCGAGGCCCTGAGGAGCCTCCACGCCCTCGCCAGCACGTGGTGGTTTTTCTTTCCCATTTTAGCCATTTTGGTTGGTGTAGTTAAAATACAGTTTGCCATTACACTGTGAATCGCAGACCAGTTTCCTGATGACTGTAGAGGTCGAGCTTGCTTCCATGTGTTTCTAACCATGTAGGTACTGTTTTTTTTCCTAAAGTGTGTGCTCAATTCTTTTCTCCATTTTTCTACTGGATTCTGCCTTTTTCTAGGAATGTTGTATGTGTCCTGGGTTAGTCCTGTGTCACCTTCGACGGATGAGATAAGTGTGTGTGCTCCTACAGACACTTCCCATTCCGGACTTGCCTTTTTACTCAATGGTGTCTTGACAAACAGGGGCTCTTAATTTTACTATGGTCCATTTATTAATTTTTCTTTGTGGTCAGTGGGTTTCTGATGTCTGATTAAGATACCAGAACCTGCCGTAGGACTACAGACATTTTCTTCCACGTTTTTTCTGAGAGCCTAGTTGTTCCATTCTTCGGACTCTCGTCTCCGCGTCCGTCTAGAGCAGACTTCTGTGGGCGAGCCGCGGCAGGGGTCGGGGCCGTTTGTCCCGTGCATGCATCTCGTCAGCACAACACGGCGTCTGCGAAGTCCGCTCCTTGTCACAGGTCAGGATAGCCTGCGCGGGGCTCTGCTGTCTGCGGACATGTCTGCGTCCCGCCCCGCCGGGCAACTGCTGCCGTCCCCGTCCCCGTCCCCGTCAGAGCGGCGGACCCTGGCAGAGGCGGGGGCCGGCTGGTGAGGGGCTCTCCGCGGGCCGGGCCGTGCCTCGTGGTCAGCGGCGCGTGGGGCTGCACTAAGATGCTTCCAGAACATCTGTGCTTAGAGATGTCTACTCTCTCGCAGGGTGGTGCCTTCCTGACTGACGCTGGCGGGGAGCCCCGATGAGCCGCTGACTTCTGTCCACCTGGGTCGCCAGGAGAAGCCTGCGATGTCCCAGACAAGGGATTATGAATGCGAGAGCCATGACGCTGGCGCGCAGGAGCCCCGGGCTGCAGGGTCGAGCACGAGGTGAGGAGAGGCCGTCTGTGTGGGCCGAGTTGCGGGCTGGCGGCCTGCCTTTCGGGGATGTGATGGTGGCTCGTTGACCAGCTGTGTGCTGGGGGTGTGTCGCTGTCCCACCTGCTCCCAGCAGGACCGGCAGTTCTCAGCCGTGCTCTGTGCTTGCTCCTGAATTGGACGTCCTGCCGTGGAAGCCCCGTCCCCAGGGGTGGCCCCTGCTTCCTGCCACAGACACACCCCAGAGGGAAGGCCTTCTCGTGCAGGGCCTCGGATGACCTGCGGGCCATGGCTCGACCCAAGTCCACGGGCCCACTCTGGGCATCAGTCCACGGCAAGGCCTGTTACCATAGTTCATTATTTTTATTTTTTCATGTTTTTGCTTTATTTGGAAATAATTCTGTATTTACAGAAAACTTGGAGGAGCAGAAACGCGGCACTGAACACTTGTGTCCCCTGGCCCTGATTTACCCTCGTGGCCTCTGTATACCTCCCCTCCCTTCACACACAGCCGCGTCTCCAAGTCTTCCAGGGCTGGAGAGACACTGCTGTGAGTGAATCTGGTGGGGGACGGGGTTGCAGGTCTCCCGTGTCCTCTGCCTCATGGTCGCTCTTTAGCCGCTGGGTCCTTCTCCCCGCCCGGCTGCACACGCCCACCCTGCCCAGCTCACTGCTCGTGCACGCTCCTTTCCCCAGCCGTCTTTTCTCTGCCTTTTGCAACATTGACACTCAGTAGTGGCCCTTTTTAAAAAAAAAAATTGTTTGTTTGTTATTTTTTTTTACAAAGATTTATTTGTCAGAGAGGGAGCGCATGCACAGACAGGGAGAGCTGCAGAGGCAGAGGGAGAAGCAGGCTCCCCGTGGAGCAGGGAGTCCGATGCGGGGCTCGATCCCAGACCCTGGGATCATGACCTGAGTCAACGGCAGACGCTCCACTGACTGAGCCCCCTAGACGCCCCATTAGTGGTCCTTTCTCAAATGGAGAGCTAGGTTGGGTTGGACGATTTCTTAGCAGAATGTTGCACGGTGATGTCTCACCCTTCTCAGAGTCTCCCTCTGCGGGCGCACGTCCACCTACCTGCTCCTCACTGGTTTGGGTTTTCTGCTTGTTTCTTACGCAGTCTTTCCTGGGATGCGACTGACCTCCCAGCTACAGCACCCCCCCACACCTCCCAGCCAGTGCACAGCACCCATGAGAACAAGAGCCCCCTTCTTCCTGCCCGTGCTCAGATTGGTTCCTTCTCACCACAGACTCATACATTTCTTTCTGGACGGCGCTCGGGGCGGGCCCGGGTCTCAGTACCGCTTGGGTTTATGTCTGATGTCAGGACTCGTGGGACAGCTCGTTTTCCCATTTCTCTGTAGTACTTCTGTGGGGTTAGGGTTCAGATTTGTATGTGAAGGGTACGAGCCCCTTACATGTAATTTATATTGCAAGTATAACGTTGTCACCGAATGTGTCCTGGAAAACAGCCTTTTGCTTTATACTTTGTCAGTCTTGTCTTTTAGTGCACCTGGATTTTTAGTCGCCACTAGAAAGTCTTCCCGTCCGTTGTGGTTGTGGGGAGCTCTCGCACGGCTTAGCTCTTGTGCATAGAGGAGTGGCTCTCGTGGGTGGCGCGGCTCTGATTCTCGCTCTCCAGATGCCACCCCACCGTGTGGCACCTTCACCCTCGTCTGCGGCGTGTGTCCTGCATTGCGCGAGTCGTGGGGCTGCTTCTGCCTTTCTGTCGACCCCGCTGACCTCTGCACATTCTTCATGGCCTGGCCCGGCTGCAGCCTGACATAACTGAGGCTGCGTGGGCCTGCGGCGTCCTGGCCTGCTCTCCGCACAGCTGACTTCAGCTCACGCGCCTCCTGGGGCACAGTCAGTACCTGGCAGGACACAGGGCAGCCAGCCCCGCCTCCCCCAGCACCCGTGCCCCTGGGGCCCAGGTTGTCTTCTAACACACAGGGCTCTGGAGGCCCGCGGCAGCTGCCGGCTCTGGCCGGGGAGATGCCAGGTCCTCTCTGCCCCAGCGCTCGAGCCCACTCCCCCAAAGTTTTCATGCTGGCTGGTAGGCAACTTTAGCATCTACGTGGCACCTGGGGAGAATGGGGATCTGTGTGTGTTCTTTTCTCTCACTTTTCTTCCTCTGGAATAATCTCTCATCCTTTCTTTCTGGGAATCATTTGTCTTTTTTTTTTTTTTTTTTAAGATTTAATTTATTTATTTGAGAGAGAGAAAACACAAGCAGGGAGCGCAGCAGAGGGCTGAGGGAGAGGCAGACTTACTGCTGAGCTGGGAGCCCGATGCGGGGCTCCATCCCAGGACCGCGGGATCATGACCCGGGCTGAAGACCGACGCTTCACCGACTGAGCCCCCCAGGCGCCCCTGAATCATTTGTCTTAACTCTTCCAGTTTGTGGACTTGCCTTTGTATTCGGGGTAGCCGTTGTGTTTGGGTCACACACGTGGAAGATTTTGTCTCAGTTTGTGCTCACACTTTTTCATATTATTTGGCTGGTTTTTGAGGAACAAACATTTTAAACTCCAACATAGTCTGTCTCACTGATTTGCTCTGTGCTTTTGTGTCTTCTCTGTCTGGCTTGATACACCCTTTCCTGACTCAGGTCCTGAAGCTCCTCTAGATGTTTGAAGGTTTGAATTAGTGGGTCTCTAACTGCACAGTTTTCTGTGGAGACAGGTGACCTGGGCCATGAATGTGCCCCATCCGTGCGTCTGCGTGCACAGTGAGCACACTCCTGCCATGGCTTCCTGGTGGCTTCCGGGCCTTTGCACGCCCCCTCCCGCCCTCGTCACAGGCCTTGGCCCTTCCGTGTGCGCGGTGCTCAGTCTGCCCCTCCCCCGAGGAGATGTCCTGTTGGGCGCTGACTGGTAGTGTACCAAGACCACAGGCCCATCTGGGGGGGATCGCCAGCGGCACTGTGTGCAGCTCCTGGGGCGGCCCCTCGTTCCCCTGTGAAGATCGGGGGCTCTCCTGGCCGCGCTCCCAGGACCGTGTTCTTGCTGCTATCTTGCTTCTGTCTCCTGTCCCCGTTTCCTCCTGCCCCTTCCCAAGGCATTAATGCTCCCTGCCTCCTCGGTGCTGAGTGCTGATCCTGCCGGCGCAGGAAGGGGCGTCATGGCTGCATCTCATCTGTCCCGTCGCTTCTCTGTTCCCTTCGGGGTCTCGTCGTGCACCGAAGAGTGGGCGGTGTCGGGCTCTGCTGGTGCTCTGGCGGAGGGCCTGGGGCTGCCACGGTCATGGCTGCGAGCCCCCCAGGGTCGTGCACCCATCTCCGCACAGTGTTGTGTCCGCCGGGGGCCTCACCCTCGGGTGGCCGTCCCGGCATGAGAGGAGCTGCTGGGGCTGCCGGGCAGGCTCGGGACGCGCACGTGCGGGTGTCCTGGCACTCTGGGTCTTGACGAGGCAGGACACGGGGTGTCCCTCGGACCGAGGCCTCGAGGGGTAGACCATGGGAGGGAGGGCAGCTGTGCCACCCTCCCCGTGCCCGCGGGACACAGGTGGCGGAGCAGAAGCAGGCCAGGCCGGCTGGAAGTCTGATCGGACAGCAGGTGGGTCCCGGCGTGTGTGCCTGGGGCACTGCCGGCCGAGCACAGGGGCCACAGGTTGCGGAGCCGGTGCTATTCCGTCTGGTGTGCTTGAGCGGGTGTGAGGGTCGCGTCTCCCGAAGCAGAAGTGCTCGCTGTGCGCCCGGCGGTGGCGGATGTGGCAGGGCGGGCGCTTGCTGCCTTCATCCCGCCGCCGCTCACGGCTCTGCCTGGGCGCCACGCCCGCGCCTCGTTCCCCGGGTGAGCGATGCCTGAGCCCCGGCCCGGGTCGGGAGCGGAGCCCCTGGGCCGGGAGAGCCGAGGAGCTTGCCCTTCAGGCAGGGCTTCCGGGCAGGGCTCCGCTCAGCAGCTTCCGGCCAGGAGCCGGAGAGCGCGAGAGGACGGGCGGGCACGGCAGGCTCGGCCGCTCTTCTCTGGGAGGCTCGCGGCGCCCTCCAGCCCACCCCGCGCTTGCGCCCTTCGGCCGCCACCTGTGCTGACGCGTTCATCTGGCAGCGAGGGTGGGTTCGGTGCCTTCTGGGCGTTGGGACTTGGCGTCTTCGTGGCCACATTGGCTGGCTGTGGACAGCAGGAGAGTGACAAGACAGCAGCCGCACCAAAGGCTATTGTTCAGGGCACGCGGCCAGTCTGCTGAGGGGGTGGGAGTGTGGGACGGAGTGCTCCTGTGGAGTCTGAGGACAGGTGAGGCCCCTGCGGCATAGAGCGGGGACAGCATGGATCCCTGAGGCGGGCAGGTGTGCGTGGTGTGGGGACCGGTGCCAAGGAGGGCCTGGAGGGGTCCCAGAGAGCCAGGTGTGCAAGGAGCCAGCGGGGACGACCCGGGGCTGAGCACTTGTGGGGTCTTGATACCCACTCGGGCTATGGCCGACTCACACTGGAGCCCAAGGTCATCCCTGCCTCTGTGCTTGTCCTGGTGGCACGTGCTCTGTCCTCAACTCCAGCCACCCTGCAGGAAGTCTCAGCCCCTCCACACCCCAGCCCCTGTCTCCCCTCTGCCTTCCCTGGGGAGCACCTCACTTTGCAGCCCCTGTGCTGACCCGCTGGTCTCCCCAGAAGTGGCAACCCTTTTTCTAAATGAGATAAAATTCATATAAAATTTGCCCTTAAACAGTGGACAGTCAGTGTTTTAGTATATTCACAAGGTTGTACAACTCTCAGCTCTGTCTGCATCTGGGACATTGTCCCCCCGCATAAAGGAACCCCGTTTCATCAGCAGCTACCTCCACCCCCTCCCCCAGCCGGGTGTCCACTCATCTACCATCTCTCTCTGGATTTTTCTTGTCCTGACTTGACATAAATGGAATCACGCGACGGGTGGTCTTTTATCATTGGCTTCTCCCCAGAAGGTTCATGCGTGCTGTGGCATGTTTCGGGCTCATTCCATTGCATACCAGTACCGCGCGTTGTATCCGTTCATGTCTCTGTGTGTTGTGACTCATACTGCCGTGAACATTTGT